ATACAGTCTAAAATCGTCCACGCGGCCTTGTGAGTGATTTATTGTTTTCCACCTTATAATCCCTTTCCAACAGACAAAACGTTGCAAGACTTTCGCTTCTTTATCATTATTTCCATGGAAAGTGTTCAGACGAATTACATTCCTTAATTTCATCAGTTCTAACCTTTACAGCTAAGGTCACGCAAATTGTGGCGAACCACGCCATTCTTTTCGTATTCCATTACTGAGGCACAAGTTCTATTTGAACACCTTCTTCCCACGAACTGCTGTGTGGAACAAAGTCCAAAGAGGATGCTTCCCCGATCAATAAAACCATAACCTATTCAATTCTAGGGTTAACCGTTATCTTCCCCATATATCCGCATAAACTGTACATTTTACTCTGTAAAACAATTTCGTGAAGATCTTGAGTCTTGTACTGGGTGAATGTTATTTTAAAATCGAAACGTAGGTATCGTTCTTTCTGCATTTATATTACTCACCTTGATAGCATTCTGCTCATAAAACTGATATTTTTTCTTCCCGATCCTTAAACAAAGCTACATAGTTATTTCTCTTTTTCTAGTCTAATTCCGCTGTCCGATGGAGTCAGTATTTATTTGTAATTGGTTTCTTTGGCATCACTATAAATACATATTATTGAAGCCATCTGGTATTACACCACTGTCATATTTATCATTTCTGTAAGCTTATCGATCCTGAAATCGTCTTCGACTGAGAGCATCTCTATTAGAATCTAATCTCAACCGGTTGTTCACTTTGACGAGTACCGATCTTATATTTCAATTCTACGGGTTCTTAAATATATTTATTTATTTATAGTAGGTTTCTTTTTTCTGTTGACAATGAAGAGCTCTTCAGTATATACGTTCCATATTTATAATATATTCTTTTATTATGATGGTTCCGTTTAAATTATCTATATTCTACCGAACATCAAGTTTTCTCTCCAGCTATTTCTTTTATATATTTATGTATTCCTGCTATGTCTGTGTTTTGGAGTGTTTCTATTTCGTTAAGACATTCATCTTTTGCTTACTTGCATTTCTGTCTGTCTGTGCTTAACATCCAATATTAATATCCTTTTGCTGTTTCTTTTTCATTAACTTGAAGATTTCATATTTCATTCGTATTTTCTTGACTCTCTTTACCTTACAAGTGCTTCTCTTAGTAAATTTTAAACAAAATTAAAAGATTAATGCGTATCAAAGTCAGAGTGTCGATAAAAATGCGAAACATGGAGACGAAGGTTGTGCTAAATCGAGGCGCTAGAAACAGCCCCGAAAACTTGAAAAAAAAACTCGGAAGTGGAAATAAAAGGGCTAAGTAGAGAATTGGGTAAAGTTACTGTCACTTGATCTCCACTCTAAGACGTTGGTTACTACAGTCGTGAATCTTCAATAAGAAATTTGTTTTATTTACTATTTTTAATACAGCATGTCACTTCAGAGTGACATGCTGTTTTATTTACTATTTTTAATACAGCATGTCACTTCAGAGTGACATGCTGTATTAAAAATAGTAAATAAAACAAATTTATGTATGTTGGTTGGACTGAGAACATTTTGAGTATCTTCATATTTATGCAGATATGCAATTATACTCAAGCGCAAATAATAGATAAAGCATGTTGAGACTTATTTGTTATGCAACAAAAAAAAATTACCATTAGACTATAGCTCTATTGATATAATACTTGCATCACATTGAATTTAATATTGAATTAAGGACATTGACAGGGAAGGAGAATCGAGAAATAAAGTATTGTTTTATATCAATGTCCTTCCTTGTCAATGCGCTTAATTCACTCGCAAATATTCATCAGACACATCGAATATTATGCAATGAAATCGCCAGAACATTCAGCTAAAATCTCGGAATGAACATATTGATGAACATATTGATGAAACCCTCGTATTTGAAGCACAAAATATGTGTTCACACACATATGTATGTTTGTGTTTGCGTGTGTGGATATTTATGAGATTATTGTTTCCGTAAGGATGACATGTTTTTCCTGTCCGCTTATCGTTATGTCTCTACAAATTCCACTGAGAATTTCCTCCTTCGAATCAGATTGATCTCATTGAGTTCATTATCTGAGCCTAACCAGCGCCATTTTTATATAACACTGGTTAGGCTGCCTGGACGCTTACCTACCATCCAGCGACACCCACATAGAGTCTATCGACTTGAAATATCAATAAACTTATTTTTACAAAACAGATAGAAAGAGCGGGAGAAAGAAAGAAGGCTTCTGTATGGCGACTGTTTCAAAGATGTATTTCTTCAAAAAAAAGTATATATATATATATATATATATATATATATATATATATATATATATTAAGACATTTTATGTTTATACATTGTTTTTATAGATACAAATATGCTATGTAAATGCTATATTTATAATAAACAGTACTAAACAACATTTACCGGCCTGAATGTCGAGAAATTTTCACAAACATTCAGGCTGGTAAATATTTATTTAAACAAA